GACATGAATAAAACTGGGTGTAACAATGATATACACTCTAGTAATACAATCACGTAAAGACTGGTGCTATGCACATCACATACGAATCCTAATTGCCTATAGCAATCTAGGACTGGACTGGCACCTACAATGGATCCAAAGTAAGCCTACGGTGTAATGTGCACATACAAGTGAAGGCCTGGCCCTGGCCTAGGCGAATACTAACACCTGTGCAGCAACGATGAATAGATAACACAAACAAAATCATACAACGGTATATCAATAACTTACACCAACATAATACTATTCACTGCGATAATATAAATAAGGCATCCCTTAATAATATGCATATATTTGCATCCCGTAGGATTTAAGATTATTTCGTAAATTCCGTTATTTCGCTAATTCTTATAAACATTAGTCTAATCTAGGCATACGTAGGAAGTTCTTTTACAAATGTATAAATAGAAACTAAATAAGTATATAATTGTAAACATGAGAAATTCCTGAAACAAGCGACAAGAATACGTGTACAAAATATATTTTTTGTATTAATGATTTTGGGGTTACAATCTCTTTGTAATTTGGTCCTCTGATTCTATCTTCGTAGGGTGTAGGTTTGTGGATGAGTTGTTGATCCAAAGGGCCGTCGGGGCTTGATCTAAGGATGAACAGTTGATGAATGGATCTTCAAGGGGCGTTGGGCTTGATCTTGAAGAATGGGTGTATGAGTTTGTTGAGGTTGTTGATCCAAAGGGGCCGTTGGGGCTTGATCTTAGGATGAACGGATGATGAATGATGAACACTTTCTTCAAGGGGCCGTCGGGGCTTGATCTTGAGTTGGTGGGAGTTCTTCAAGGACCGTTGGGGCTTGATCTTGAATTGGTTGGAGTTCTTCAAGGGCCGTCGGGGCTTGATCTTGAATTGGTTGGAGTTCTTCAAGGGCCGTCGGGGCTTGATCTTGAAGGTTGATGGATGAGCGGATCTTCAAGGGCTTCTGGGCTTAATCTTGAAGGACGATTGGATGTGTGGATTTGTTGAGGTTATTGATCCAAAGGGGCCGTTGGGGCTTGATCTTAGGATGAACGGATGATGAGCGATGAACACTTTCTTCAAGGGCCGTCGGGGCTTGATCTTGAGTTGGTGGAAGTTCTTCAAGGGCCGTCGGGGCTTGATCTTGAATTGAACGGATGATGAACGATGAACACTTTCCTCAAGGGCCGTCGGGGCTTGATCTTGAGTTGGTGGAAGTTCTTCAAGGGCCGTCGGGGCTTGATCTTGAAGGTGGATTTGACGAAGAACGAAGATTGCTTTCTTGATCCTTCGGGATTTGCTTGAGAGCTTTAGAGTTTCAAGGTTTCTTTCTTTCTTCCTTTCTTCTTTTCTTCTTTTCCTTCCTCCCCAAAATGAATGCCTTGGCTTCCTATTTATAGAATTCCAAAACTTGATTATTTGGATTTAAATAATCAGATGAAATAAATCATTTCTGCCAGGTATTGACACGTGTCATATTTGATGACTTTTCCAATTTATTTCGATTTTTCGTTGAGGCACACGCTACATGTAAAATTTATGTGATATGTGAGCGTTGAAATTTTAATTATTGGTCAACATTCATTTTACCGAAATTTTGATGTCTACAAATGCCCCCACTTCAAGACGCGTCGTAGACATGTGCTTGTCACGTGTAGAAGATGCGTTTTGAAGTCCCTTAATGTAGATGTCAACCCAAGGGCCGTCGAGGCTTGATCTTGAATTGGGCTGGAAATTTCTTCAAGGGCCATCGAGGCTTGATCTTGAGTTCGACTGGAAGATTTTCTGGTTTCCTCCAATCGTTGATTTTCCGCAGGCTTACTCTTGAACTGGGCTAGAGGATTCTTTTGGTCTCCTCCGAAGGTCTGGACTCACTCCTTTTATCTGGAGTTGAATTTGATTCAAGGGTGGTGAACACTTGATTTTGAATCAGACTTGTGATTTCTTCAAGGGCCATCGAGGCTTGATCTTGAACTGGGCTGGAGGATTCTTTTGGTCTCCCCCTATCGTTGATTTTCCTTTGTGCTACTCTTAAACTAGGTAGCAAGATTCAGACACATGGCAGGCAAGCACGAGGTGGAAGTGATGACCTGTTTCTTTGTTCAATCTTTCCAATTCGTATTGAAGAGGGTAGATCGGAAGACTGACTCCAAGTGCCGGCTGATTGCTCTTTTCACTTTGCTATGCGAGTAAGAACAAGGACAAAGGAAAAGACATGGAGAAAGCATGATATGAGATACCTTTGCTTTTTGAAGAAGCAGCGAATGAATCAGCATATATATTTGTTGTGCTTGTCTCCACATGCTTTGATGTATCATTTTCACTTGCCTTACTTGCTCCCTTTGCAGAAGTGGTATTTCCTTATGCAGGTTTGGCATCTTCTCTTGTAGTATTTGTTCCTGATGCAGGATTTGAATGCAACCTTTGCACTTAAATGGTGCTTCAAAACATTACTTCTCAGCGACGATGAGTACTCGAGAGCAATGCAAGGTAAGCAACCAGGCAAAGGTTCCAGGCAATCAGTTCCAGGTCGGAAGTTTGATTTCAGGTTCCGACTGATAACTCTATTTCCCCTTGTCCTGCAGGTAAGAGCAAGGGTAAAGGAAAAGACAGGGAAAAAACATGATATGAGATACCTTTGCTTTCGCCCTTGATGATATGAGATACTTTTGCCTTGGTGTCATTTGTTTGCAAGGGTATTCCCGGAGAGGAAGAAAACTGAGCATTTTGAGATGCTTTGCTGGGAGTGTACTCTCGGAGGTGAGGAAGAGTTGGGCATTTTTTATTTTTATTTTTTTTTGTTTGCAGGTCTGCCTTGCCATAAAAGATGAAGGTCGACATATATAGGGATTTCCCAATAGCAAGTGGTGGTACTGTTCTTTTACCCTCGTCGACAAACGTTTTGATCCCGCAAATCCGGCTTTTTGAAATAGTGACGACTCTTCGATCTTTGAATACGCCTCTTTGATTTCTGAACGACGCCTCTTCGATTTCTGAACGAGCGCCTCTTTTGACAAAGTTACACGCGTTTTCTGAAAAGCAGAGAAAGCGTCGCCGAACTTTGCGCTTGTCGGCTAAAGATGTGTAGCTGCGATGATGACCTCCACGTGATCTTTTGACAAAGTGGCACCCGTGCTCTGAAAAGCCGAGAAAGCGTCGCCCACCTCCACGTGTTTTCAACTTTGTCGGAGATCTTTTGACAAAGTTGAACGCGTTTTCTGAAAAGCCGAGAAAGCGTCGCCCAACTTACGCCGGAAAATCCAGCTTTTGAGATTTGCAGAGCGATGTCTCTTCACTTTTGAATAAGCGGCCCTTCGATTTCTGAACCAACGCCTATTTGATTTCTGAGCAAGCGCCTCTTCGATTTCTGAGCAAGCACCTCTTCCTTTTTATAGAGGTATTGATCACCTCTAACATGCACACTTTGAAGGTTGCTCATTCCTGAAAATCATCTCCGGCCTTTTGAGTTTTAACTCCATCCACCCATCTCTTTTAACACCTTTGAAAAATGGCTAACCCATCGAACTTTAGCTTAGAATTGAGTCTCAGCAGTGATACGGGCGCGCCGCATCAAGGTAACGTATGGCGCCCTTCTTTCTTATCTTCTAACGGTCCTCTTACAGGTGAAGACTCCGTGATGCAGGACGCCACAACAGCTACAATAGTAGCTAGGAACCTCCTCACTCCAAAAGATAGTAGGCTGCTGTCAGGACGGTCCGATGAGTTGGCCGTTCAAGAGTCCCTCGCTCTTAGTGTTCAGTGTGCGAGCTCTGTGTCCAACATGGGCCAACGCCTGCTTGCTCGGTCCCGTCAGGTGGAATCATTGATGGCAGAGGTGGAAGATCTTAAGCAGGAGATTAAACAGCTTAAGTACGAGAATAGAAGTTTGCATGTGCTTGCAAATAACTATTCGTCGGGCATGAAGAGGAAGCTTGATGAGATGTAAGAATCTCAAGGTCGCATTCAAAGTGACCGTCAAAGGCTTGCGTCTTTCTTCCAGAGGCACATTTTTCCGGCGTCATCTAGCGTTCCACCAAGTATTGGGGCCTCGAATGATCTATCTTCGTTGCTTCCCGCTCTTGGAGTTTGGCCAAGTAGTGGGGCTTCACGCGAACAACCTTTGTGAAAGCTCCATTTTTCTCTTTCTTTGTTAGATACATTTCTTTTTTTTTTTTTTTTTTTTTTTTTTTTTCGCACTTGTAATTTCTCGAAAATCAATGAACATGCTTCGTTTTATTTAGTGTATTGTGCTAAATACAGATAAAACATATACATCACCGTCCATCACCATTTTTTTTTTTATTCTTTTCTTTGCTTTCGGTGGCGCTGATCCACCATTCATTTATATATATATATTTCAGATGGTGCCAGAAGCACCACCATCGTTTTTTTTTCTTTCTTTTTATTATATATATATATATATATTTTTTTTCCACATGGTTCCAGAAGCACCATCATTGTTTTTTATTATATATATATATATTTTTTTTCTTTTTAATTTTTTTATTATTCTTTTGAAAGATGCTTCCCAGCATCATCATGGCTTCTTTTTTTTTTTTTTTTTTTTTTTTTTTTTTTCTTTATATGGCCATCTGCAAGGCTGAGTTCGTGGGTGAAAACCCAGGGCGAGTCCGAGAGAAGACGGAGGAGATCTTTGGGTGTGAGTTGACAAACTTTGATTTTGTCAATCACATTCAAAGGCAGCAGCAGAGGCAAGCAGACGGATGAGATCTTTGGATGTGAGTTGACAAACTTTGATTTTGTTGATCACATTCAAAGGCGGCAGCCATGGCGGAGGTGCAGAAGCAGCCAGAGCTTGAAGTAGTGCAAAGCGTCGAGCTTCACGATCGGCTAGTCGTTTGACAGCGGTCACTGAAGTTCTTCGCCGATTTTGACCACGGTGGCCAGAGTGAAACTGAGGGTCTTGCAGGCGAGGAGCTGCATGGATGGAGAGGAAGAAGTGCCTTGTCGTGTTCTGTTACTTTCTCTTAACCTCTCTTACTGACTTCATGTTCTTTTGTTGCAGAAAAAGGGGGCAGAGCTCTTGGATTTGATTGGAAATTCACAGGGTGGTGAATGCAGGAGGTCTCGGGTGTTTGGAAGATGTTCCGGCCGATTTTCGCAGGCAGCCCGGGAAGCTTCGCGGCGGCGTGAATGGCGACCTGCAGAGAAAGCTTGAAAATCACTTCCGGGTCGGTGCTGTTCGATGTCTCGAGCGCGGAGATGCTCAAGAAACACGAACTCGGGTACTGGGTCATGCCGCAAACCGCCTTCAGCGACGCCGCCGGAGTCAATTCGGGGCCGGGGTCCGAGTTGGGTACAGAAGACGACGAGTTGTTCCGCTTGTGCATGATCACTCCCGCGACAACGCCGATGATCACTGCCAACAGAACCACCGTGGAGACTGAGAGGATGATGAGACGCTTCCGGGTCTTGCGTTTGAAGGCCTGCTCTTCGAGCTCGTCGACTTTGCTGTAGCCCTTGAAGGACTTTACGGAGTCCATGTCTGATACTTTTTTTTTTTTTTTTTTTTTTTTTTTTTTTTCTGTTTTTGGTTTGCTGGGTTTGTTTCCAGGCTTTGATCGACTTGTCAACGGACGCCGTGGCGATGCAGCAGTCGTCGTACTTGTTCCAATCGCACGCGAGGATCTCGAGCTCATGCGCGGGGATAATCATGGTGGATCCAGGCTCTCGCACGTCCCACACGCGCAGAGTGCAGTCGCCGGAGGCGGAGGCGAATACATCGGCGTGGCGGGGTTCCATACGGCGGAGTAGACGCAGTATGCGTGTTCCTTGAAGGTTCGAACCGAGGCAGGACGGTCAACGGTCCATAGCTTGACGGTGTCGTCCCAGGAGGAGGTGAGGAAGGAGTCACGGCGCGTGGGGTTGTAATCAGCGGAGCTGACCTTGCGCGTGTGCTCGTGGAGGGAGTAAAGGTGTTGCAGCAGATGGCATAGCAGCTTGGGGGAGGAGAAGTTTGCAGATGGGAGATGCAGCCTCAGATGGAGATGATGCAGAAAGTGACCATGATGGAGCACTACTGCGGGTGACTTGAGGTGGCTGTGATTTCTGAGGAGTTAGAATCTGATTTTGGTGCTGAGCAGCAGCAACCCTCTTCTCCTGCTCCTTTTGGATATCTCTTAAAGATGTGGGTTTAGAAATCTTCCCAGAGTCCGTAGACTATGCTGGAGAAGGAGCAGGGTTAGCTGTTTCTCCTTTCCAAAGAACAAAATCTCCCAATGAAGGCTCAGATGGAATTGCAGGCAATACTTCATCGTCCTGACGTACAGAACGAGAGCTTTTGACTTTTTCAGTGGGGCTTGAACTAACATGCATATCTACAGATTCTGGACGGGTGGGGGACGACGGGTCCTGGTTGGATTGCCCACCTCCTGCTAGATAAATTGATGCAGAGAGCGGTCGATTTCTCTGAGGGAGCTAATATAAGCGATGTGGGCCTTAGCGAGATCAGCTGAAACATGGCGGCCGGAGTGAGGCAGCAAAGCCGGTGCTTCATTTCCATAGTAGTGGAGAGGTTGCTGGGCATGGGTGCGAGGAAGAAGAAGGACGCCATTGGGCTGATGCCAATAGGCTCACGGTTTTGGACTTTTATCCTCAACAATCCAGCCCACGGTTTGGGCTTTTATCCTCAATAATCCAGCCCAATCATGGTTTTGGGCTTTATCCTCAACAATCCAGCCCACCATTTTGGGCTTGTCGACATTTTGCTTTTTTTTTTTTTTTTTTTTTTCTAATACATAGTAACATATGTATTTATTTATTTATTTATTATTATTTTTTCTTTTGAAACCAACAACATGTAATTTTTTTTACAAAGAACGTAATAATATTGACTTTCATTAATCACTTTTACTACAACCTCATTTTGATGTGACTGAACTCAAAATTAAACGTTCGAGCTACCTACGTACCCTTCCAACGAAGAGATCAAGTCATAACGTAGTTCAAATGAGTGATGGTTTTGATGATGATTTTGATGATGATTTTGATGATGATTTTGCCGTACACAGTTTATGCTCTTGCGGGCCAGGAGCGTTTGTTGTCGCCTTTTATGCTCGTGCGGACAAGGAGCTTTAGTTGTCGCCTTTTAGGCTCGTGCGAACGAGGAGCTCTTCTGAATTTTGTCAAACGATCTTAGAGAAGCATTCCTTGCAATCTTTATAGCAAGGAGTCTTGACTGAGTGATTGAAGAAGTCTTTGGGGAAGAAATCGCGCATCGTGATGGCAACGGACGATCTTTGTGTCATAACTTCATCATCCTCAACACTTTCATGTAGCTTTGAAGGTTGACGGTAGCTGCTTTGCCCCCTTTCCGATTGGTGAACTTGTGGAGGAGACCTATGTTTCTTGTGCATTTTCTTTGGAGTGACATAAGTCCATCCTTCAACTTCACTTGACTTAACTGACATGGTTTTGGAGCATGCCCCCAGCGGTTGAGGTGAAGATTTTGAGTTCAAAGAGCCAGAAGTGACGGTGGTATAGTTTGACTTCACCACATCATTAAGATCTAGCTCGATGATCCCTTTCTGAGCCAACTTCATGATGAGATCTTTTAGCACAAAGCACTTTTCCGTCGGATGACTAATGAAGCGGTGGAATTTACAGTACCTTGGACTGTCAGTACGGTTCATATCTTCTGGCCGTTTGCACTCAGGTAGGTCGATCACCTTTTTGTCAAGCAAGTCTTTCAACATGGCAACCACGTCAGAATCGGGGAATGGATAAGTCTTCTCCTCAAGCTCCTTCAAAGTGCGTCTACGTATCTCTTGATCACGAAAAGCTTCGGTTTGAATTGCCTTGCTTCGTGTAGGGATTTTGACTGGAGTTGTGTTGACCGCCATTGCTTCCTTGGTGGGTTTCCACGTAGCCTTATCCACCTTTGGCCCCAAAACTTTGTCATTCTTGTAGTCGGCGATCTGTTCTTTCTTCCCATGACGGGTGATGCTTAACTCCATATCATGGGCGCGGGTGGCTAACTCCTCGAATGTTCATGGTTTGATGCCTTGAAGGATGTAGTGTAGTCCCCACTGCATGCCTTGAACGCACATCTCAATGGCAGAGGTTTCAGAAAGCCGATCTTTGCAATCCAGACTTAAAGAACGCCATCTATTTATGTAGTCAACGACAGGTTCATCTTTCCACTGTTTCGTGCTGGTCAGCTCTAACATGCTTACAGTACGACGAGTGCTGTAGAAACGGTTGAGGAATTCCCTTTCTAGCTGGTCCCAACTGTTGATAGACTCAGGTTCGAGGTCAGTGTACCAGTCAAAAGCGTTACTTTTCAGCGAATGCACGAACTGTTTGACGAGGTAGTCTCCCTCTGTCCCAGCATTGTTGCAAGTTTCAATGAAATGGGCGACATGTTACTTCGGATTGCCTTTTCCATCGAACTGCATGAATTTTGAGGGCTGATAACCCCTTGGCATCTTCAAAGCATCAATCTTCTTGGAGTAAGGCTTTGAGTACAGTACGGAGTCATGCGAGCTTCCTTCGTACTGTGTCTTGATAGTGCTTGCGATCATCTCCTGTAGCTGCTGGATAGAGAGAGATCCCATGGATATCGTTGCTTGGTCTAGCTTTGGCTTTTCTTCGACTTTCTCCGCTGGTGGCTCCTCTTCTTCGTCGCCTTCTTTCTTTAATAGGCCAACAATTGGGTCGACTTTCACGTCGGGCAGCGCATCTAGTTGGTTGACAAGTGCGGCAATCTGCAAGTCTTTCTCTTCCACAGTTCGTGTGAGCTTTGCGATTGCTTCATTCATCTGAGCTAGTTGCTCCTCGATTGAAGTTGCTCCCGTGGTCATGACTTGCATGGTTGTACTGCCGCTCGAATCAGCGTCGGAGAGTAGGGACTTTGAGTATTTCCTTGGGCTCTCCCCTTTTGATGCCCTTAGCGAGGCTAGGGTGATCACAGGCTCGTACCTCAGGTGCTCTTGTTCCTTTGACAGAGTTAATGCAGGGGCGGAAGCCGCGGCAAAAAGATCTCTTGCCTTACTTCAGGTTATGATGCCCGAAATATCACCACTTGCGGCGATGATGTTCTTGTTCTTTGCTTTGATTGCAGGAACAACTTGATCCTTTCTTGATGCCATTTGCGTTTTTTGATGATTTGAGGATAGAGATGAGAGGTAGAGATAGTCCCACTGGGCGTGCCAAATTTGTAAACACGAGAAATTCCTGAAACAAGCGACAAGAATACGTGTACAAAATATATTTTTTGTATTAATGATTTTGGGGTTACAATCTCTTTGTAATTTGGTCCTCTGATTCTATCTTCGTAGGGTGTAGGTTTGTGGATGAGTTGTTGATCCAAAGGGCCGTCGGGGCTTGATCTAAGGATGAACAGTTGATGAATGGATCTTCAAGGGGCGTTGGGCTTGATCTTGAAGAATGGGTGTATGAGTTTGTTGAGGTTGTTGATCCAAAGGGGCCGTTGGGGCTTGATCTTAGGATGAACGGATGATGAATGATGAACACTTTCTTCAAGGGGCCGTCGGGGCTTGATCTTGAGTTGGTGGGAGTTCTTCAAGGACCGTTGGGGCTTGATCTTGAATTGGTTGGAGTTCTTCAAGGGCCGTCGGGGCTTGATCTTGAATTGGTTGGAGTTCTTCAAGGGCCGTCGGGGCTTGATCTTGAAGGTTGATGGATGAGCGGATCTTCAAGGGCTTCTGGGCTTAATCTTGAAGGACGATTGGATGTGTGGATTTGTTGAGGTTATTGATCCAAAGGGGCCGTTGGGGCTTGATCTTAGGATGAACGGATGATGAGCGATGAACACTTTCTTCAAGGGCCGTCGGGGCTTGATCTTGAGTTGGTGGAAGTTCTTCAAGGGCCGTCGGGGCTTGATCTTGAATTGAACGGATGATGAGCGATGAACACTTTCCTCAAGGGCCGTCGGGGCTTGATCTTGAGTTGGTGGAAGTTCTTCAAGGGCCGTCGGGGCTTGATCTTGAAGGTGGATTTGACGAAGAACCAAGATTGCTTTCTTGATCCTTCGGGATTTGCTTGAGAGCTTTAGAGTTTCAAGGCTTCTTTCTTTCTTCCTTCATTCTTTTCTTCTTTTCCTTCCTCCCCAAAATGAATGCCTTGGCTTCCTATTTATAGAATTCCAAAACTTGATTTTTTGGATTTAAATAATCAGATGAAATAAATCATTTCTGCCAGGTATTGACACGTGTCATATTTGATGACTTTTCCAATTTATTTCGATTTTTCGTTGAGGCACACGCTACATGTAAAATTTATGTGATATGTGAGCGTTGAAATTTTAATTATTGGTCAACATTCATTTTACCAAAATTTTGATGTCTACAATAATATTTAAAAGCAAAGACCCATTCACAGATACTTGCGAGGCCGCAGCCGTTCGAGCTAGGATAGTCGGAGTCTTCGATAATTATCGCATCTAATCATAATATTGGGACCCATTGGTAAAACTCCACGAAGACAATTAAATTTGGGAAAACAGAGTGTGGATTTGAAATTA